TGTCGCCCCCGGCTCAGCTCAGCTATCACTTCTTCCGGGATGCCTGTCCAGACCCACTTCTGCCCAGGTCGGGAAGCTCCCGTGGGGCTCTGTCTAGTGTCTTATCACCTGTCTGAGGTCCCGGGGCAGATCGCCTGGAGAATTGACACCCCACGACGCTGAGGCGGTGTCTGGGCAAACGCCGGACCCGACACCGCTGTCACTTACCACTGCAAGTGGAAGGTGTGACCGCAGTGGATGGCGGCCACGTCGCGGGAATGGTCGAAGAAATCGGAGCAGATGGTGCACAGCGCACGGATGGGCATGACGGATGGACTCAAGGGTCTCAGGTAGCCAGGGGAAATGCGACAGATCAGCCTCGTGGCCGCGCCCCCGCGCCTCCGCTAGCTTCAAATTTGGCTCCACTGCGCGACTTCCGGGAGCGGACCGGAAACAACAGCCCCGAATCGAGGGGCGGAGCTTCACTGTTTGGTCTGGATTGGACAGACCCGGAGAGGGCGGGTCTGTGGGCGGGGTTTAGAAGCCCAGCGGCCGAGGAGAATCCTGGGGCGGAACTAGGGTTCTTCAGCTTCTCGGGGAAAATCTGGGCGGGCACCCGTGGAGTGCAGCGTCAAAACCCAGAGCAGAGCTGTTAGGCCTCCAGCTGGGCCCTTCTCCGGGGCGAGGCAGGCCGTTGCGGTCCCAAGCCAGAGCTGGCGCAAGACCGGCCGGGCCCGAGCCCCTCAGCCGTTGTCGAACTTCTGGACAGTGAAGATGACTGGCCGCAAGGGAATAGGACGATGGGGCCCCTGGGCTCTGGGCAACGCTGGGTCGTGTGCTGGCAGCGTATAGCCCCCACGGGCCCAGCGAATGCTCCACCCTCAGTTCCGGACACATTGGTCCCAACAGGTCAGGACATCCCAGGCTAACCTTCGCTTTATCTAATTAAGGCACGACGATGAGTTTGGAGACACTAGGGCCAGTACCCTCCTCAACTTTAGCTCTTAACTTCCAGGAGGATCAGTTATGCCTGGGACTATACAGTAGGGTTGGAATTTTGGAGGCCCAGATACTTCAAAGACCAGAGACTAACAAACCCTCTTCCTTATTCACATATAGAAGCTATCTCTCAGGTCCCCCCTAAGAAA